CCTGTGTGTGAATTGGTATGAGGAATTACTCCACCAGCAAGGCCATATGCTTGCTGAGAGAGCACCGGTGGACACCAGGCCATTTACATTTGTATATGTACACGCTTTACATGTGTGCCAATGACTGTGTGTGGATAGAAAAGCTGAGGTCTTATGAATGTTCTCTGCTGTGTGGCGTTGGTGAGGTACGTTACTTCTCTGGACATGTTTTTTGTTTTGCTTGTTCCCCTCCTCCCCTGTAAAACAAAAATAGTTTTTCTTCAGGAATCCCTGAGGACAGCTGCAACACTGGGTCCGGTCCGCATAGGAAGAGACACCTCCAGCGTTGGGGGAGGGCCAGAGGTTAGCAGAGACTATAGCACCTCGTTGTGCGCAAGTGGTCGCACAAAAGTGCTCTCTCCATCGAGTTCAAAGTGGGGCGTGGGGTGGGGTAAAGCTGAGAGCTAATGTGGGGGTGAGGAGAGAAGGGGGTGAACACACTATCCAATTTGAACCCATGGTGGCATCCAAATGAAAGGGGACCGGGTTGTGAGACAAAGCTGGGTGGAGGAAGAGTGCTGATGGCCTCCCTGCCCATTCTCCCTTTTCCCAACGATGTGCATATAGGGTACTGCCTGGGGTAGGAGCTGCCTGAGAATGACTTTTCTTAAACAGGCAAAAGAAAATATAGGGTGACCACTGGAGGGAATGACAGTCACCCAGAGAAGCCAAAGCGTGCAACTTCATCTGCAGAAAGGAGTCTGGTGAGACCCCGTCCAGCCCTGACTTTGGCTTTGGCCTCAACCTAAGAGTAAATGAAGACTTACTCCTGCCCTTCAGCTTGACCTTTTCTACTGAGGGAACATGGAGGGGGTGAGGGGGCTACAGCACAATGGCTGCTCTGCTGACATTATCTCTGGAAGCTCTGCCATAGGTGACAGAGCTGTGGAGACCAAGCAGGGATATGTGCCCTGGGGAGCCCAGCCAGAGGGCCTGAGTGGACAACTGGACACACACTCAAAATACCGAACAACCACTCTGATGCCCATACATTCAACACACCCTGCATCCCCTAAACTGAAACTGTGTCTCCTCAGTTTCACTCATACACAAATGACTAACACAGGTGAACCCACAAACGCATCACACATCCAGGGCATCCCCCCCTCTTCATCTATACTCTCTGTTCCTCTGCCCCTCCTCCTCTCCAGCCTCCTCCCCATGACCCTACTGAAGAAAAGGGAGTTTCCATCCATCAAGAGAACAGAAACCTTTGCCCTTAAAAAAGGTGCCAAGGATCCATAGTGTCTAGACTTGGCTAGTGGGTATTGCCTCCTGAGTTGAGGAAGATTTAGATTTATGGTTCGATCCAATCTTTAAATAAAAATGAGTGAGAGAAAGAAGAGGGGCAGACAAGGAGGAAGGTAGACTGGGGCTCTCTAGTATTTATTTCAGGGCAGCCTCAGACTTTAATACACAAGGTGCTCATGAGGCTAGTCCCATCTCTCCAAGAAATCAATGCCTGTTTATATTATTACTTTCTCTGTTTAGAGGGGGTGCAAGAAAGCGGTCTGAATGGAGTCTTCCTTCCCTCTCCTCATCCCCAATCAGGTAGAAGGAAGAGCTGGAACAAGAGGGAGCAAAGAGAAGAAAATCGAGGCTGACTTGAGATTCCCTACTAGATTTCTGAAGGAAAGGTATGAAGAGTAGGCAGGGATGCTCCAACTCACTGCCACCGACTGGATTCTGACTCCTCATGACACTACAGGACAGAGCACAACTACCCCTCCAGACTTCCAAGGCAGTTTGTATTTACCTGAGCAGAAGGTCACAGCTGTCTCCCCTAGAGGGGGTGGTGGTTTTGAACCCCTGACCTAGAGGTCAGCGGCTCAACTCCTAAGCTTACTATGACGCCAGGGCTCCTGGTGGATAAGAACAGACAAAACCACCAGGAGGCAAGGACAACATTTAAATTGTCTATGCCTAGCCCTTCCCTCCCATAAACAATGGGGAAATTCGATGTCCTCTTACATAGGAAGAGAATTACCCAGTAATGATATTGTCATTACACAGTAGTGATTTTCACACCTACCCACTTTAAAATACAATCACCAGGAAAGGGGGCCTTGCTTGTCCCTGTGACTAAGGAGAAACGCATCTATCTGTCTCTTCAAGTGGGTAAAGCGGGGAGTCACAGGGCAGGAGTTTGCCATGGCTTCCCCTGTTGTTGCCCCTGGATTTGGTGGGCTTGAAGTGAGGGCCACAAAGGAGAAAGCAGGTTAGCCCACTTTCCAGAGGGATATTCAAAGTAAGATGTTCACCTCTGGAGCTGAACCCTCCCCACCACCGGCTACGGGTTTGCTCGGACAGGTAGAGCGGTCTGAAGCTGGCTTGTCTAAGGGCAGGACAATCCTAGACCCCAGACCTCAGATCTTAACCTGAAGGCCTTCAGGTCTTGCCCATTCCAGACAGCCCTCCTAAGTGAAGCAGTGCATACATAAACTTCCAACCTCAAGGATTCAAATCACCTGACCACCTCCTGGGAAAAGCCCTTCCCACTGCTTCCCACTCTGCAGACCAGAAGTGGTGGAGCACTTATGTGCAAGTTGCCCACACCCACTCAAGAAAACAATGGGACCAAGGTGGGGATTTAGTGTAATGGAACCAGGAACCCATGGCAAAATAGGAAAGAAATGTTCCCTCCAACTTCACTCAAGGCTAACTCCCCTGAGCCCCTGGGGGCTCCTCCACCAGGCCCATCACTTCCTGGGGAGGGAACAGGACATCCAGGAGAGTGTTTCTAGAAAAACACAAAATGGGGAGTCATTCTCATTTTCCCCAAAAGCAATCCTGTGGCACTTGTAGGAAAGCGATTTAAGGGGGGTAACACAGAACAGAGTTCCCACATGTGTATATACCCCACAAACATACAGGCATGCAAACACCACTGAGCACGTGCACACACACCCTGAACTCATAAACACCACCATCCTCATGTGCATCTGATTACACAGAAAAGTCCCCAATCACAATAGTCACCCTAGCAGAAGAACACACACAAAAACAGGGTCTTTAAAGCACCCACCCGTATTTGCACATCTGTAGACAGCATTTAAGAACACCTGCACATCTAGCCACACATATGCAGGTACATATATGTACCATATGTTCAATGTGAAGGAGAGAAAGGGGAAGGAGTGAAATTTACCATGGGGGAAGGGAGTCAGGACAAAAGAAAGCCTGGGGAGGAAGCCTACTTCTACCTCCCACTCTTCCTCAGGCAGGGCAGCCCTGGGTTCTCGGGCAGGGGGATGGGGACAAGGGTGGGGCAGAGGAAAGATTTCCCTCTGGGAAGTGCAAGAATGAGGTGTGGGGTTGGGAGCCCATCTTGTAGCAAGTCAAGCTTTGTTGGCATTCTGAAGGGGTGGGCCCTGCATAAGTTTTGGATCTGAAAGAAAAAGGCCCTGTGCCCAGGATGGGTGCCCAGAGCAAATACTGCAGAGGGATCTAGCACACTGCGGGTCAGAGTAGCTTCCAAGGATCTGAGCTGCCTGTGCTGGGGCCTGGCCCTACTGCCTTAGGAGTCCTTCCCCCCCTACCCCATCAGAATCCCTTACTCAGGGAGCTTCCGAATAAAACTGCCCCAGGGGCCCCTCACCCTAGTGGGTGAAGAGTTAGCTCCCCTCCTTAGCCTCACGGGTGGAGGGCCTTCTGAGGCTGCCGGAGGAAACCAGCGGGGAGAGGGATGGCCCTCGGAAAAGAAAGGGTGCCCAGTGGAGCTTGGAGCATGTGGGCCTGGAGGAGGCCTTGCAGCTGGATGGAAAGACTCCGAGCAAATTGTAGCCCAGGCCACGTTTCCCAAACCAGTAAGGGCCCGTTTCTGGCCTGGGTGTTCCTGGAGACCTCCAGACACTTGGGAAACCTTCGGAGGGGCCACCTCTGCCCCCGTGCCCCTCCTGCCACACTGTCCTGGGACTGTCAGGTCCTGCCCCAAGTCGCAGCCCTCCGGGTCAAGCCCAGGACTGGTGTGTGTGTGTGTGTGTGTGTGTGTGTGTGTGTGTGTGTGTGTGTGTGTGTGTGTGTGTGTGTGTGTGTGTGTGTGTGTGTGTGTGTGTGTGTGTTGTTGGAGAGGGGGCTTGGGGAGGGAGCAGGGGGAGGCACACTGTATGCCTCAGGGGCACAGTTGCCAGCTTTGAAAGGGCCCCGTGGATTGGGGGGAGCTGGGGACCCACGCCCTTCCCCAGCTCACAAAGAGGAGGGCGGCCAAAGCTTGAGCACAGTGTACACTTTATTTCAGACTACAGGTTTCTGAACATAATAAAATCTTTGGCTTGCAGCGGCGGTTCAGTCTCGCAGTCTGTGGGGTTGTATTTCTCAACAAGTCTCCGGAAAACGAAAGGGGAAGAAGGGCAGACAGACAGAAAAGGCTGGGGAGGTGGGGAAGAAGTGCGGGGCAGACACGCACTCGAGAAACACACTCTCACGCACACAAAGACAAGTCCCAGAGAAACGGGCAGCGAGGCGGGCGGGCGGGAGGCACCGGAGAAGCAAGGTCGTTCCAAAGAAAAGGCAACCAGAAGGAAACGGGGGCGAGGAGGCGGAGGGGGATAAAATAATTATAATAATTATAATAATTATAACAATACGAATAAAGGAGATTAATAAAAATGTCCAGTAAATAGATATCGCTACACATCTTTCTTTTTCTTACCTGAAATTAAATATATACAAGGTTGTAAGCGGTTTGGCTAAATAGAGCTTTAAGGAGTTCGCAGTTTTGTCCCTTTGTGACTAGAGAAGAGATCTGGTTTGGCGATAGCACCTGTCCGTGTCTTTCTCCTTGAAAATATTTCGAGATCCTCCATTCTGAGCATCTCTTTCTCTCTCTTCCCTGCGGTGCCCTCTTCTCCTTTCGTGGAGTCTGGCACCCCGCGGAGCACGGCCAGCGAGGCTGCGGTGAGAACCGAGAGGGCGCGCGGGGACTCGGTGGCTGCACTGAGCGCGAGGCCCGCGGCGGCGGCGGCAGCTACTCGCTCTCGTCTTTGTCCTGGACCGTGGTGGTGGAGTGGTTGTACAGTCCCTGCGCCATGAGGTGCAGCGCCAGGCCGTTCTTGATGCCCGTGGCTTTCTTGATCTTGGCGCGCTTGTTCTGGAACCAGATCTTGATTTGGGACTCGTTGAGGCTGAGCTCCTGGGCCAGCGTCTGCCGCCGCTGCTCGGTGATGTAGCGGTTCGCCTGGAACTCCGCCTTGAGTCTTTGCAGCTGCTCGGCCGTGAACGCTGTCCGTGGTCGTTTGTCCTCCTTCTCGCTCTTCTTCTTCTTCAGCTTCCTGGTGCGAGGACCTGCAGCGGCGGAGAGGGGTCGGGACAAGGGTAGAGGAAGCGGTGAGTAACGCTTAGCCTAGCCTGGATCGTGCCCTGTGTTGCCCTTTCTACAAGCCACCCCCTAGGACGAACGTGGCCCTAGCCTGGCTAGAGGGTTCAGCGGCGTTCTTTCTCACGAACCAAAAGAGCCACGGAGGAAAAGGAAGGAAAATACTGGCCAAACATATAGGTAGACCCCACATTTCAATTTATGACAGGGGGGCCAGGGAAGGGCCAAGTTCACAACAGTTCCTGGTGAAGAAAGCAGGAATCCAAGATGGAGAGATAGTTAGAGCCCCATCCAAAGTCGGCCAGAGTTGAGGATCCAGGGACCTGCCCTTTCACAGGCCTGAAATAAAAATGGGGCCCGCTGACAAAGAAAGTAGGCACTAGGGAACTTTCCAGTGGTCCCCTTATCTCCTGCCACCTGGGAGACTCCAACTGTCCCTTCTCTGAAAGAGAAGAAAAGGCCTTGATCCAGCAGTGTGTCTGTCTCACTCTGAAAACTCTCACACACACCCCTTTGGGTTTGCCTCTCGGATGGTACTTGTACAAAAGAGAGGGCCTTCCACATGCTTCCACCCAGCGACACAGGCAAGGTCTCCCTTATATCATCTACTTGGGAAAATCGTGCCGCAATGTCAGGCGAAAACACCGGAGCAACAAAAACAAGACAGATCGGCCATCCTTGCCAATCCCTGGGATTTACGGGGCTGCTACCCCATTCCCTGCCCCCTCTCACAGGCACAACAGGGCCAGAAGAACTGGCACAGGAATAATCTCGGCCCCCAAAAAAGTGTGCTTTTTCTCCCAACATGAAGATGGGAAACAGCCACAGAAATCACCCTAAGAAGGTGAAGGCTCCCTCAGCTACTAGCCTGGAGGGAGGCTGCTAGGGAACCAGTCCCAGAGAGAGGCGGGAAAGCTGAGGATGGCTGGAGAGGACACAGCTGCTGCTTGGTGCCTCTGACACTTGCAGCCCGTCCATCCCCGCCTCACCCAAGTTTCCTGGCCTTTCCTTCAGGAGCCCCTTCATCGTCATCAGTGATACGGAGTCAAAGATCCAGCTCATCGGTCTTTTAAGCTCTAAACCCGCCTGGAAAGAGGAGACGTCACTGGCAGCTACAAACCTGGCTACAAATTGGCAAGCTTCTGACTCCCTAGGTTGGCCAGGGGCTGAGGTCACCAGTTATGACAAAGGGCCCGGTCCTAGCAGATGGCAGAGGCTAGGGCCTGGGGCCTGGGTTTCCGCAGGGAAGGAAACAACAGCCCGCAGCAGTCAGTCCCTGCATCCCAGGTTGATAGGAAAGGAAACATTCAAGAACAAAGACAAGGCCCACTCCAGTGCATGCCTGGAGGGCACTAGGAGGCAGGGTGGTGGTGGGGAGGAGAACTTGGTTTGGATTAGGAATCAAGTAAGTAGGCAGAGATGTCTCGGAAGATGTGCACCTCTTCAGGAAGACCCTGCTGTGCTTTGTACGCCCAGGACAAGTAGTGTTGGGGGCTTGTTCTGTTTGCGCACAAGGCACAGAACCTTGTAATAAAATCGTAGCCTTCTGGCCAGCCCGACCCAAGCGGCCTGACAGCTCAATCACTCTATCCATCAGGCGAGTCAATCAAAGTAGCTTTTCGGAGGTGCTGGGAGTCGGACGTGTCAATAACGGGGCTCGAGATGGCGGGGGCTGATAACACACATCGATCTGCGGCTGCTGGGCAGTGGTCGGTCAGGAGGCGGGAGATGAGCCCGCCCAGAGTAGCGCAAGGTTGTGCTGGGCCTGGGTTCTGGCGGCCCTGGCCGTAGAGAGCTCCGAGAGCCGACCAGAGCCCTTGTCGCCCTCCTTTCAGCCAACACTGGCCTCCTAGGGGACTGTTCATTCGCTGAAGCGCCTGGCAGGCCTCGGTTTCCTCTCCCAGGACCCAGCGGCTGTCACAAGGCAAGCCTTGACCTATGCTTCATCTGGCGCGAGCAAAAGAAGTAAAAGAGGGCCGAAGGAAACCCCGAGCAAAACGGGGCAGCTGCTGGCGAAAATGTACTCACTGGCAGAGGTATGAAAGGAAGGAGTGAAAGAAGGCAGGCACAGAGTCCGGCGGGAAGACCCGCAAGCCGCGTTGTGAAGAAGCTTCTGCCGAAGCTAGCTAGCTCCTCCTTCAATCTGCCCTGGTTTCTAGCCTGAGTCTCGCCTGCCTTCTCTCTGTCTGCCTGTCTGTCTGTCCTGTCCAGAAGTCCAGGAGCCAGAGGATCTGGGCCATACAGGCACCGCCTCTCCCTGGGATTCTACCCACCCGGGTCAGACTTCCCTGCCACACGACCTGGTTGGAGGCTGGCAGATGCAATTCTCGCCCTTCTGTCTCTCTCCATGGCTAGCTCTAGCTCTGTAAATAAACTCTCCTCAGAAAACACCAAGATGGGGTCTGGGTGTATGTGTGTCTGTAAGAAACACGAGGACGCTGATTTCTCTCTCAAAATCTTGCTCTTCTCCGGTTTGGGCTGGCAGGATTTCGGACTCAGATTAGGCCCACCTTCCCGTAGGCTCTGAACACCCCTTTCCTGGAAGAAATGCCAGAGACCCTGTCTATCTTTCCACGGGATAATAAGGGTAAAAACAAAAAGAAGGGCCCAGGGGTTCGGAGATCAAAATCCAAGGGTCCAACATCCCGCCTGCGTTGTCCAGAGCCCCAGCACTCTAGGGGGTGGCCGCAGGGCCCGGGGAAAGCCGAACTGGGCACACTTACTTAGAGTTGGGGCCAGGGGTAAGAAGAAGAAAGCAGGCAAGAAGAGCGAGAGTGTTAGAGGCCGGGTTTGCCGCGTTCAGCGCCCAGCTCCCGGGGCCGGCGGCGTGGTGCAGCCGGGATCGGATACTCACCGGAGGACGGGCGGTCCGAGTAACGCGTGCAGTAGACCCAGGCGGGCCAGACGAGGGGCTGCTGCGAATCCGTTTTGACCACGGGCGCGCCGTTGGCTGAGCCCATCAGCAGGATGGCAGGGTTGCTGTGCTCCGGGTACTTGGCGCCCTGCGCTCCGGGGCTCACCGCACTACCTCCACCGCCGCCGCCGCTGTCCGAGGGCTTGGTCGCTGCTGCC